AAAAAAAAAAACAAAAAAAAAACAGAGAACATCTCTGGAGCCAGATGTGTTTTATGTAAATCCTGGCTCTCCCATTTACTAGCTATGTGACTTTAGGCAAGTTACTTAATTTCTCTGTACCTCAGTTTTCCTATCCAGGATGTGGGGATAGAAATAGTACACATATCATTGAATTGTCATAATAATTAAATAAGAGAGTATTTGCAAGGAAATTAGAATAGTGCCCGGCACATAGTAAACACCACGAAAGTCAGTTAATACTATTATTAGGATTGCATTTGGTGTTCACTGTCATTATTCCCATTTCACAGATGAGGAAAAGGAAGGTTTAAGAGAAAAGAGGTTAAGCAACTAAGCCAAGATCAGAGACTCAGTCACTGACAGTCCTGTGCCAGAACCTAGGTCTCTGCCATCCTATCCAGGGGGTTTCCCACTCCCGACACTGCCTCCCAAATTTACTAAATAGAAGCAGTGGGGTCAGTGCAGGCTGTGGAATGTCTGGGCAAAAAAAGGGTGAGGCCAGTTACAGTTCACACTCCCTTTTCCTGAGAACTGGGGAATCATTTGTAAAGGAAGAACCTCAAAGCATGGGAAACATTCCACATTTCAGCGCAGTTCTTTTGGGCATGTGGTATCTCTCTTTGCAATCACTTTGGTTTTTCCTCCACCTCGGCCCAAGCCATCCCCATCACATCTTTGGACACCTACAAGAGCCTCCAATTTTGCATTCTCCTTTCTACTCTTTCTCCCTACTACAGCCAAAGTCATGTTTATAAACATAAACACGACACGTCAGTCGCCTGATTAAAATCCTTCAATGACTCCCCTCTAAGGGCTTGGGCTAAACCCCTTCATATGGCCGATAAGATCCTGCCAGATCTGCCCCTTGCTCGCGTTTCCTGCCTCAAGGCCCATGTCTTGTGCTCCCAGCAGGTTGAATTTCCTCTGTTCCTCAAAAGCCTGCCCTGGTGCTGGGGACACAATCTCCCCTGCTCTAAACTTTTTTTAGTCTTGGAGGATCCTAGTCACTCTTGATAAAGCATCAGTGTAGTACTCCACTCTTGGGGGAAGCCATTTTGCACTGTCACTTCACTTTCCCCCCATGACACCCTGTATCTCCTTCTTGGTAGCATTTACCGTGAAGCACTGTGATTGCTGTATACTTTGCCTGCGTTCCCCATGGGACTCTGGGCTCCCTGAGGGCATTCATCATTCTCTGGGTCAGTGCTAGGCCTGGCACCTTGCACAAGAAATGAGTTATTCACATATTGATGATGGAGATGCTAGCTGAAACTGGGGAAGTGGAGTCTATTGCCGAAGGGAAAATTGTAGGTAGAGTGAGAAAATAAGATTATTAAGAGGACATTCCTAAAGATGGCAAAAGGAGACTGGTTTAGGCAAAGACCCTATTATTGTGGGGAAAGAGAGATTTCTGGAAGAATAGTCGGGATGAGGGAGAAGAGGAGACTCACTGACCAAGTTAGGTTCCAAAGCAGGTGGGTGTGGATTAAGGTGACCAGCCAGTCCTGGTTTTCCCAAGACTGTCACAGTTTTAAAACTAAAATCCCTGCATCTCAAGAAAGCCCTCAGTCCAGGCAAACCTAGGATGATCATCGTAGGATGGAATCGAGATTATTACAGGAGCTTGTGGTCTGCGACAGAAGGGCCATCTCCTCCTGGAGTTATGAGGCAAGGCAGAGAGACGAAAGGCAGAATTAAATAAGTGTGTGGCTTTGGAGCCAAGACAAAGTTCTGCCTCTTAGCTGTGTGATCTTGAAAGACTTAAATCTCTCTGATTCAACTTCCTGTTAACTTGGCAAGAATGAAGAATGAGCCACGTGAAAGTGCCTACCCCAACTGTCGGCCCCCCACAGAGCTTAAGTCACTTTTGTTCTCTCCCTTTCTCGGCTGCTCTCATCTTCCACTTTTCTTCCATTTTTTCTGTTTGTATCCTTGATTTTTGCCCTTTATTCTCTTTAGTCGCTGCTACCTGCTATTCACGTTGAGTACCACCTACCGCCAGAGGGCGGAAGAGGGAAAAAACACCCCACGGTGCGTGCCCCTCTAGCTCTCCCGGGCGAGCTCTCAACGGCTCCTGCTGGCCCAGCTCCGCCGAGGGGGTGGGGATCCCGTCACGTGACCGGGGCACCGGGCGCCCGCGCAGGCGTGGGGTCCGCGTCGCCGTCGCCGGGCTCCGTCGTCCAGCTCTGCCGCTCGCGCCGCTTCGTCTTCTTAGCGCCTGAGGCGGCCGCCCGGCGGGCGTGTGGGTTTTCCCCCTGCCGCTGCCGACCGCGGTCCAGGACCATGTCCCGAAAGCAGGCGGCGAAGAGCCGTCCCGGCAGCGGCAGCCGGAAAGCCGAAGCCGAGCGCAAGCGGGACGAGCGGGCAGCGCGTCGGGCCCTAGCCAAGGAGCGGAGGAACCGGCCGGAGTCCGGCGGCGGCGGCGGCTGCGAGGAGGAGTTCGTCAGCTTTGCCAACCAGCTGCAGGCCCTGGGGCTGAAGCTGCGGGAGGTGCCGGGGGACGGGTGAGGCGGGCCGGGAGCGCGGGAGGCGGCGCCGGGGGCCCCGCCGGGCTTGGCCTGGCGACCGTCGCCCGCTGCCGTCCGTCCATTCATTGGGGCGGCCCGAGCGCCTCCGGCCAGCCAGCCGCTGTTCCGAGTGCAGGGTGTCCCGCGGCGAGCGAGGCTGACCAGGCCCCTCACCCCGACACATTCCCAGTGACCTCGCAGGATCCTAATTGTGGCTGACGCCGGGAGCCAAACAGAAAGTGGGCCTTGAGAGAATGTTGGAGCAGGTCCACTGGATTGGTGGCCAGGAAGGTCTCTATGAAAGGTGACATTTAAGCTGAGACCTGAAAGAATGAGATGAAGCTAGCATTCGGAGAGAGTCATAATGACATAAGACAAATATAAGGAGGCGTGAGCCCCACTTGGTAGAAAGCTTTGCCACCTTTGGGCCCTCGCTGTTGTCTATTGCTCCCTTTTACAGTTGTGAAATGAGGTCTGTTTATTGAGCTGAAGGCACCTTCTCTAATTCTTGTTTCCGTGGGTCTCAGTTTCTTTTCTGTATGCAAAGGTGCTTCCCTAACCTTGCATGGGGCTTACTTAGAGTGGAATCCAGGTCCAGCTTTTTAAAGAGAGCACCAGATAAATACGTGGAGGCTGGAGGGAGAGAATGGGGAAAGGAAAAATAGTTTCAGGAAAGGGCATATGGATCCAGGAGAACGAATGGAAGAAGAAAAAGGGTGAGGGAGCTGGGATGAGAACAGTTAGCATCTCCATTGCAGGAGCAGGTCAAAGAGGGTCTGGTTGCCAGCTGTCTCACTCCCAAAGAGACAGTGTTAATAACAGCCTGGCTCTAGTTTTTTCCTCCTTGTATTTGGGTGCTCAGGTTGGGCAGAGGGAAGAATAAGATGAAGCTAACGATCATGCAGAATCACCTTAGATATTAACTGTGGAAGAAGGCGTTGATTTTGCATTACATTGCAGCTTATTGATCAAGCCTTTTTGTTGACTGGCCCTAATTTACTCCTCTCACTTTTTCTTATTGTCTCCCAGTGCCTCAGGCAAATAGGATTTCCTTCTGTTCACAAAGAGTTCACTCTTGCATTGGTATTTTTCCTTAACATGCAATTAGAGCCTGATTGCCTTTATTCACCATCCTCTAGCATAGTACGTGGTACATAGGAGGCAAGCAGTACATTTGCTGAATGACATAAAAATGTAGAGGGAGACCAGCTAGCCCAAGCACAAAGCACTGTTAGATAAACCAAAATACCTATTGAAAACAGTGGAATTGGGGTGGGGCTTGGGGCTCTTCCTTGCAAATAATTGGATTGCTTGTGCAGTACCCTGGACATGATTTCTCAATGTCAGGGTATCTAGAAACCTGAAATACTTAAAAGATAGTTGCTCATGAGTAGGAATCAGAATATGGGGAGTTATAAAATCTTGAGAGGACTTTCATAAAGTTATGGGAAACTTGGGGGATACTACCTCTACTCCTCCCCCCCCTCCCCAAGAGCATACTTCTCTGTTTAGCACATATTGTTTGAGTAAAGTGCTGCTAGGCACATGTTAACAACTAAGATACTTAAGGGCTTCATAGCCTTGTAAGGGAGAAACATGATGGCGGGTCTCAAACGTTTTGGTTTTTAGGATCCCTTTGTATCTAAAAATTATTAGTATTTTTGAGACGGAATCTCACTCTGTCACTCTGGGTAGAGTGCCATGGTGTCAGAGCTCACTTAACCTCTTGGGCTTAAGTGATCCTCTTGCTTCACCCTCCACAGTAGCTGGGACTACAGGCGCTTGCTATGACACCTGTTTCTATTTTTAGTAGAGATGGGGTCTGGTTCTTGTTCAGGCTGGTCTCCAGTTCCTGAGCCTGTGCAATCCTCCCACCTTGGCCTCCCAGAGTGCTGGGATTACAGGTGTGAGCCACCATGCTTGGCCTTAAAAATTATTGAGGACCTCAAAGAACTTTTATGTGGCTTATAGTCGTCAATGTATATTAGGAAGTAAAGCAGATATTTTTAAAACACAAGAATACACAGACACATTAGGTATCAGAGAGATAAGCTCATCAGGTAGCTGCTGGAAAACTTAACTGTACACTTGTGAGAACAAGAATGTAAAAAGTAAATAATATTTTCGTTTTCAACTTGTGGATACCTGAAAGGGTCTCAGAGATCTTTCCATTTCTTTGATCCCCTAGGCCACACTTTGAGAACAGATTATATAAATAATTAAAATATAGTTTGATCTGTTTTTAATAATGGTAACATGTTATGGTGGTACTGTGGAGAAGGAAGTGGCTACCACTCCATGAAGTCGTGAGGAGTGCCTCGTTCATTCAGCAGGTATTCATCTAATATACTGTGTGAGAAGCTGTTCAGACAAGGTCATACTCTGATTGGGTCATGAAGGTCTAAGAGAACATTCCAGTCTGAGAATTAGTATACGCAAGGCACAGGAACACATTTTTGGGAGATCTACAAGTGTGGGATGATAGTATACATAGGGTTCAAGAATAAAAGTGAGGAGCATGAGGCTGCAGAGATCAGCTCAACTGGAATGCTCATCTCTCCCTCCTGAGGTCTCTATTTGGATATTGTTAGATAAAATAGTGATATTTCTTATGTGGGTTCCATAAAGCTAACCCCTTTCACTGAGTATCAGGAGATGAACTGTGGTTCAGCCCTCTTCGTATTTTGGTCCCTTTGAATATGGATGGTGTTTCTTGTGTATGTGATGGGTTGGTATCAACAGATTTTTTTGTGTGTATGTGAGACAGGGTCTTGCTTGGTTGTCTGGGCTAGAGTACAGTGGCGTCTTGATAGCTCACTGCAACCGCAAACTCCTGGGCTCAAGCAGTCCTCCTGCCTCAGCCTTCCACAAAGCTGGCACAGAGTCTGTGCCACCACACCTGACTAGTTTTTCTCCTTTCACCTTTCCTTTCCTTTTCTTCTCCTTTTTTTGTTTTGTTTCTTTTCCCTCCCTCCCTCCCTTCCTTTGTTGCTCAGGTTGGTCTCAAAAACCTGGCCTTAAGCCATTCTCCCACCTCGACTTCCTAGAGTATTAGGATTATAGGCGTGAATCATCGTGCCCAGTCAGATTTTTTTTATTAATGTTTTTTAAGGACTCTCAGGGTAAAATATAATGAAATTGTGCTTCTATTTAAAGAAATAGTTAACAGCCTTTATTCTTTCTTCCTTTTGTTCTGATCTGATTACAATGTTGAGTATTCTGACACAGTATCTAGCTATAGGCATGTTCATTGTTGGCAGTATGGTACTTGGAGCATTTTGGAACCTGTAGCAGGGGTCCTCGAACTTTTTAAACAGGGGGCCAGTTCACTGTCCCTCAGACCGTTGGAGGGCTGGACTGCGGGCCCCAGGACGAGTTGGTGCTAAGCAGGACAGGCAGTGGTGGCAAAAATACCCAGCGGGCCGGATAAATGTCCTAGGTAGGTTGCATGTGGCCTGCAGCCCATAGTTTGAGGATGCCTGGGAATTGGGGATGAATTAACCAGTATCATGTAATAAAGCACTTACCTCAGTTAAGACAGTTTAACATAGATTAGTCAGGGAACTACTTAACAGGGTTTCATAATGCATCATGGACCACTTAAATCTTTGATGTACTATCTGGAGGGTGGACCCACATAAATTGGATTCATTTTTAAAACAAGAAAGAAAGAGTTTAACCTAGCCAAAAACATGGTTGGCTATAGAGTGACAAGAGTCTATACCTGGATTAGGCAGTACAATATTAGCATTTCTCTGAACTATGTCCCATTGTATCTTACTAAATGTGGCCCTCAGTCTCGTACTCATTGGTAGTATTCTAAAATTAAAATACTGAAGAATCACTAATTTTAACTATTATCTATGTTACAAACAGATAGTTTAAAAAAAATTTTTTTTTAAGGTAGAGTCTCACTGTGTTGCCCTCAGTAGAGTGCTGTGGCGTCACAGCTCACAGCAACTTCAAACTCTTGGGCTTAAGCAATTCTCTTGCCTCAGCCTCCCGAATAGTTGGGACTACACGTACCTGCCACAATGCCTGGCTATTTTTTGGTTGCCGTTGTCATTGTTTAGCAGGCCTGGGCTAGACTCGAACCTGCCAGCCTCGGTGTATGTGGCCGGCGCCCTACTGTCTGAGCTACAGGCTCGGAGCCTAATTTTTTAATTATTTGTTTATAGAGACAGGGCTGTCTCTTCTCTGTCACCTAGGCTGGAGTGCAGTGGTGTCATCATGGCTCATTGTAACCTTGAATTTCTGGGCTCAAGTGATCTCACCTTAACCTCCTCAGGAGCTAGGACTTCAGGCTTGCACCACCATGCCTAGCTTACTGCTTTTTATAGAGATGAGGGCTTGATATGTCACCCAGGCTGGTCTTGAACCCCTGGCCTTACGTGATCCTGTTACCTCGGCCTCCCAAAGCTCTGGGATTAATGCGCCATTGGAGTCAGCCTAAATGGGCTTTGAAAGAAAAAGAAAGAAAAAACACTGCCTTTCGTGTTAAGTGATGTTTTCTGGTCTGTTACTTTAATTCCTTGTCGTTTCTTTCACTGCATTTATTTTTGGTTATTTCTTAGTGGCTGCCCTAAGTGTTACTATTTTCTATTGTTTTTAACTTTTATTTTGTTTTTTAATGTGACAGGATCTTAGGGGGTAGAAGGACATTGACAATGGTCTTGTCCGATTATCCATTAGTGCCGGCATCGCCTATGCAGCAGTTCTGTCTTTTGGGCCTACCTCAGCAGTTTTGAATCCTTCTGCCACTCTAGAATCACCTGGGGAGGGACTTCTGAAAAAATGCAGGGCCTGCTCTTTTCCCTAGATCTGCTATACCAGAATCTTAGGCAGTGGGGCATGGTAATTGATTTTTTTTAAAGTTCTCCAGATGATTGTTACATGGACCCATAATAGACAACCACCAATTTAGAGTCTAGATTCTAGACTAGTGTTTCTCAAATTGTAGCATGCAACATAATTACCTGGAGTGCCAGTTAAAACACCTGGAAGGACTAGCTTGCTGGGACCCAGCCCCAGAATGTCTGATTCAGTAAGCCTGGGTGGGGCCCCGTTATTCACATTTCTAATAGGTTTCCAGGTGATGCTGATGCTCCTAGTCAGAGAATACACTTGGAAAACAGTGATGTTGCCCAGTGCTGTCCAATAGAAATAGAATGTAAGTCATAGAAAAAATTTAAAGTTTTTCCAGTAGCCACATTAAAAAGTAAAAAGAAACAAGTCAAATCAATTTTAGTGTATTTAAGCCACTGTATCTGAAGTATTTCAACATATTATTCAATATAAACATTAATCTTTTACATTTTTTACACTGACTCTTCAGAATCTAGTATTTCATATGTACCAGCACACCTCACCTTCGATGTACCACGTCAGCTGCACAGTAGTCACGTGTGGCTACTGGCTACTGTATTGGACACCACTGATCTAGACAGTCGCTGAGAATTGCTAGTGATAGAAATCTGCAAAATCCTGCATCTATAAGTCTATCCCTGTGGCACTAAGATAAAATTTCCTTTTATTTGCCCAAATCTGTGTCTCTGTGGTTTCCATGTGATAGTTGGAGGCAGCTATCAGGTGTCCCCCTCAGCCGCCTTCTAGGCTGAACATCACTCGTTCGTGTCCTTCATGTTATACAAGCTAAAGCGCATCATGTCATCTGATTATGCCTCAGAATGGTAGCCAGTACCTTAGCTATGGTGTGACCTCAAAGAGTAGAACAAAATCTTCCTGTCTTTTTTTTTTTTTTTGGAACATTTGCTGTTACTGCAGCTTGCAAACCCATTAGTTGTTTTGGTGCCTGTATTGCAGTACTGTCTGCATTACTGAGCACGTAAAACATCTACATGCTGCTTATGTAGTTGGGTGTTTTGTGAGCTCAAGTGCAAGACCTTACATGTATCCCTATAGCAGGGTGGTTCTCAAGCAGGTACGATTTTGCTCCCCCAGGGGACATTTGGCAATCTCTGGAGACATGTTTGGTTGTCACAGCTGCTGGGGATGGAGGTGGTGGTGGTGTGATACTGGCATCTAGTGGACATAGGCTAAGGATGCTCCTAAACATCCTGTGGTGCACAGGACCCAACAAAGAATGACTCCAAAAAGTAGTGTGGAGATTGAGAAGCCCTGCTGTGATGTAATGGCTGACGTGTGAACTCAGGAAACAGCCTGATCTAGAGGTCCTCTGGGCAATGGTGCTTTGTTCCCTTGAGTATCTCAAGTGCTCTTGCTGGGCTCCCTAAGGGAGCCCAGGTCACTATAGTGTTTTGTTCATGTTTCCTATGTCACTATCTTGTAACCCTGAAAGAAAGGGAGGTGATTTCAATCTATCTTGATTTGTCTTTAGTGAGCTCAAAGAAAGTTTGGTAAATATAGAAAAGTGTATAAAGATAGACTGAACAGTTACCCCTGATTTTACTACCTGGAGGTAATGCCTAACGTTTTGGTGTTGGCATTTGAGTGAGACTATAGACTAGAGCCAGGTTGCCTGGACTTGGATCCTGGACCCACTGCCTTCTAGTTTTATGATCTTGGGCAGGTTACCCTTTGGGGGTGGTTAATAGTACCTGTCTCATAGGGTTGTGACAACTGAATGCATTTAATACATGTAAAGTGTTTAGAACAGTCACTGGCACATGTGTGAGCTATTTAAGTAGTTGTTTCAGAGGTTTTTTTCTTTGCATACACACATTGTGTGTTTGTGTGTGTGTATATGGTGTATAGATGAATATGGTTGATTTTATGCAGTGTATACAGTTATCTGTTAGCTTACTTTTCCCCTTATGGTTGAAAAAAGGACTATGTCAGATTTTAGCAGAAGACATCTCAGTCTAGCCTATGGAACTCTCTATATTCCAGTCCCTTATACAATTTTGTCTTGGAGTTGATGCAAAGCTTCTTGGTTTCTTATGTATAGACTCTTTCTTGCTTAAATTTTCCTTTCGCCTGCAGAAATAAGTAAGTCCTTAGAGGAGATTCCTGTCTTTCTGTAGCTTTTTATTGAAAATTTAGTTTTTTGAGTTGAAAAACAAAAACCCATTCTCCTACACACTTAGATCTGAAATTTTTCTGAAGTAATGAGTTTTTATTTTGGAATTAGAGTGTTAGCGTTTTTCGTTTGGAAGAGTAAACACTTTGGTGTGAAACAGCGCAACTGTTTGGCTTCATATTGGTTTATTTCCTTAGTTTTAAGGATACCAGATTGTGTTTATCTTGTTTCAGTCTCTGTGTATCTGGGCTTCTGTGTTTATGATATAGTTTGGAATTTTAGAAGCCTTCGATGAGTTTGGAAGTAAAGATGACTCTTGTAGTTTATTACCAACATTTTAATTTAGAAAAACAAAACATGCTTAAAGTTTTTGTTCAGCAGGAATAACAACATCTTTGTTGCTCCCTGGCGACAGATGAGGAGGCAAGGGGGAAGTGTCCTTCCACAGTCCTCGGTTTGTCGTCCAAGTGCATTCCTTCTCAGAGCTTTTCCCACTGTGTTTTTAGGATTCAAACAGGTTGTTGAGTTCAGTTGTTTGTATTGGGGGTCCTTTTGGGGACTCATTGTTAAATGAATGATTACTTACCTGGGTAGCTATAGTGCTATAGTGAAACTTGTTTTAGGGAAGAGGCAGTAGGTATACGTATTATCTTAGAAAGGGATCTGGGAATCATAGGCCTCAGGTCTGGAATGGTTATAAGGGCTGGACCTTGTATGTAGGTGATTAATGTTATCACCAGCTGCAATTGTTGAAGCAGCTAGGGCCTAGGGAAGTTGAAAGAGTTTCTTGAGTTAGCCAGCTTGTAAGTGGGGAGTAGAATCCTTGTTTGTTGCCTTTCAAGAAGGTAATGTGGTTGAATATCCACCCTAGTACTCCTCTGAGAAGCTAAGAAGGATCTTGTACTGTTAGACCTCTTCTGTGGTTGAATAGCCACCCTTAGCTTCTGAGAAGCTAAGAAGGATCTTGTACTGTTAGACCTCTTCTGTGCTTTAAAGATTTCCATGAATGGCCTGGCTTGATGTGTCATTATTTTAGATGAACTCAGTTCAGTTTTGAAAGGTCTTGACCAATATTTTTCTTTTGATAGCAATTGCTTGTTCAGAGCTCTTGGTGATCAATTGGAGGGACACTCACGAAATCATCTTAAGCACCGACAGGAGACAGTGGACTACATGATAAAGCAGCGGGAAGATTTTGAACCCTTTGTAGAAGATGACATTCCTTTTGAAAAACATGGTAGGTTCACCATGGGACACTGAATCCTTCAGGAGTAATACATTGGTTATTAAGCCCATTGGCATCCTCCACCCGCTCAGCCAGGGGTTTGATTCTATAAATTATGGTTTTCATTTATTCAGCAATTATTTATTTGTCTGCTCTGTCATCAGTGGAATGTTGGGTAGTTGGGAATCAGTAGAGTTAGCTGTATATGCCCTTAATAAAAATAATGATGTAATTGACCTGGAAAGCAGGCTATAAAGAGAAAAGCAGGCTATAAAGTAGTGAAGTCATGTGTAGAGGTATATAGATTGATTCCCCCCCCCTTTTTTTTTTGAGACAGAGTCTTACTTTGTTGCTCTTGGTAGAGTGCTGTGGTATCACAGCTCACAGCAACCTCCAACTCTTGGGAGCGATTCTCTTGCCTCAGCCTCCAGAGTAGCTGGTACTATAGGCAGTTGTCATTGTTGTTTGACAGGCCCAGGCTGGATTTGAACTCGCTAGCTCTGGTGTATGTGGCTGGCGCCTTTAGCTGCTGAGCCACAGGTGCCAAGCTGATTTGATCCCATTTTTTAGAAGGCATATACATACGGAGATAGTAAACAGTCTAGAAAAATACATTTTATGTTAATTCTTAGCTTCACTTATTTTTCAGAAATTACTCATACTCTTTAAATTTACTCTATAGAAGGGAGATAATAGCATCTATCTTAAAGGTCTTTTTGTGAAGATTAAATTAGATAACAAAATTAAAATAAGTTCTTAGTAAGTGTTAGCCATCTGGGGGTGCTGGAACGGTGGTATTTTAAATTATCTTCTGTACATTTTTCTGATTTTTAAATGATTATTTTATAATCAGAAAAATTAACAAAATTATATTATTTCACCCAAACTCCAAACACAACATTTTTATTTTTTTGAGGCAAGTAAATTAGGGATTTTAATTAATTTAATTTAATAAATACGAATTGAATAATAAAGTAGATACGAGTTTGGCTTTTTATCTTTTGAAGACAGTGTTGCTCTGTTTTCCCGGCTAACGTGTAGTGGTGTCATTATAGCTCACTGCATCCTCAAACTCCTGGGTTCAAGTGATTCTCCCTCCTGAGCTCCCAAGGGATTGAGATCTGTGAACTTTTAGACTTTAATTTCAGCAGCTATTTACCGAAGATCTATGTGAGGTGCTGACATATTTATGCTTTACAAGTAGCATTTTTGTCACAGAGCTCATAGTCTTTTCTGTCTTTTAGTGAGAAAGAGAATTATTCCTGTGTTTGAGAGAGCTAACTCTGGAGGCTGTGCTGAGAGTCTCCAAGAATGAAGAGTAGTTAGAAAGCTGTCCACATTGACCAGAAGATTAAGTAGAGGAGGGTCTCTGTCAAGGCAGCTACTGAGGATAATGAGTAGGGTCCAAAGCAAGCCATGCCATGGTTTGGCGGTATGATTGATAGGATTCACTGGAGGTGAGAAGGGCAGAGAGGAGACAAGGGTGATTCTGAGGTTTGCGTGGGGAGTGGTAGGTGGCTGTACTGTGAGCAAGACAGAGGGCAGCAGAAGGAGGTTGTTTGGGAGGTGACCCCAAACACTCCCATTCCTCACTAGGAAAGAACCATCATGAGGCATCACATAGCACAGACTTTCACGGGTGGTTTATACCAGTCGTGAGTTCTGATGGTGCCTCTTCCTGGGATTATTTTTTGTCTGGTTTGTGTTGTGAAATTCTATTTTGACCATCATCAGTGAAGGTCATATTGTGGAATTGGGGGTGTAGTTAGGACAGGAACCCCAAACTTTCAGTTGCCAATGTGATTGTTACTTTAGATGGATAGTGGAAAGGTGCCTT